GATGTAAGGTATTCCTATATGCATATTGAACGTTCATTCTACAGCATGAAGCGACACAACTTGAGTGAATACTTTGTATCATCTCGTAAAAGGTAATCATGATTGGAATTACAACAGTTTGTTTTGACTGGTCATAAATTACCTCCACCGGTAATGTGTCATTATCAATGACACGATTGCGTAAATGTCCAATTTAAGCTGAACCGCGAATCAAAAATCTCACATACGCGAAGTGATAATGCAAAGAGCTGTCTCATTTATCCAACAAATAAGTGCTGGTGGAACTCTACGGGTGACAAATCCTACAACTCGTACATAATCCGACGGAAGCATAATCGACCGACGCCGTTGACCAAAGGAAGTAAAAGCCTAGGAGGCAGAAATACCTTAGCCAGTAGAAGACCATGTCTCGCCGTCCGAGGCCAAAACTTTATTCCCACAATACGACGCTCTTATTAGTTAGAGAACAAGGGTATCATGGCTCTTGTCCCAACCCCAGACGATCAAAAGGCCCTCTAGCATATGTACCATGAATAACCAGCCAATGTGTCAAAATCGTAACCCCATTTTCTACAGATACCATGGCACCAACTCTAAGCCAAGCCGAGGACAAAGAAGACATAGCTCGGCAAGCGCCGTCTAGGAAAAATATGCGTAGCCAGAGAGCCCGTGCTGTGAGACCGGAGCCACTGATGAAAAGGGAGGTCGTAGAGTACCGAACGCCATGATCGGAAGAAATGAACAGAGCAGAAGTATTACAGCGCTTCACATCGCAGCCAACGTCTTCGCGTACGTGGGAGCCAGCTCCCATACCACTCAATCCTTCTCCATAGATTCGAAGATCTGGCCGGCCTTACTTGGAGAGACGCCGCTGTTCGACACGTTTGCTATTGACTGGATGTCAATGATTTGTCAGACGAAAGCTTGTTGACTTCCGACACCTACTAGACCATGGGAACCTCTGCGCGACTTCTTTATCGCTCAGTCTGTCAACTTCATTCCAAGCTTCGGTGAATAGCTTATCGAGATTGTCGGGACCGGCAGTCTCGGGTGCTTTGTATTTGGGGTTTGAAGACTGTCGCGCTGTTCCGGCGGCGAGTATCTCTGGAGGGAGCTCGTGATCCGCGTGGGGCGCGTCGGCAGCTGCGCTTGTTGGCGCTCTCTCTTGAGGTGGCGATAGCGTCGGCGCGTTGAGGTTATTCCGTTCGTCGTCTTGATGGTGTCCTGTGGATTCGACTAGAATAAGCTAACGATCGCAAGGGTTTCGCGGTCCGAGCCGGATCCACGGACGTGGTAGAGTGTGTGTGGGCTCTTAGTCACGTACCTGAAGCCCAGAGCTTTTTGAACCGATCCCACAGCGACGACATTCTAGTCACTAAATTGGATGAAGGCAATGAAAAGACATCGGTGCGGCATTTGGTTTGTTTCGCGAAGCCAGATTGAAGGCGGTGCGCGGACCAGTTCTGGCCGGTGTCCTCGGGTTAGGTAGTCTAATGTTAAGTAAGGACAGGTAGTAACTACTACGTACAGTCAGATAGGATGCCCCCACCCCCCTGGTGCACACCATCCTCTCTTCAGGCATCCCTTGCCAACACAATTAAGCCACATTGACTTTGCTGATTACGAGGCTACCACACTATCAATACCGGTGAGCTACTGGCCAATCGCCCACAGTATGACGAGACTTGCAACAATAAGAGCGCTAATACCGGGTGACATTCCTTCCTTCGTCGCGTGCCTTGATCGGGATGGTAAAAACATGTTGAAATGAGAAAATCGCGATTGGATTCCAGCCATGGCTGCTCCGAAGCCTCAGAATAGAAGGTCTCCCCATTCACAGCTTCGCTCGTGTGCGCGCATCATCAATGCCAATGCCGATTGTTAATTGGCGCCAGCACATCAGACTCAGGGTGTTTCGGGTAGAGAACTTCCCTCCAAACGCAGCCATGGGGACACTATTGTGCTAAATCCTGCACTGAGGACAGGACCTTTGAGATTCTGTGGCTGGCATTCTGGTCGCATTTTTGCTTGCGCGGTGGCAATTGGGCTTTAAAAACCCCCCTACCCACCTCCCGCGTGCATTAGGTAGAAAGCTCTAGGTAAGGAGTCAAAGACCTTGAACCCAAAGAGTCATTTTTCACCGAGTCAAGTCGGCGAGGCGATGCCGTTGCATTCGGCTTATCCATACGTTTCAATAGCGACACCATCATTAGCTCTCACCGCGTGCCGCTTGGCTGGTCCGGGTTTTGATCCCTTTGCAGGAATGTGCTCTCCCGGCGCCTAGCAACTTACATGCACGATCAAGCTCTCTTTGGTGAATTTGTTAATAGATCTGGATTAAACAATTGTCGACAACCCGGTTTTGCTGCCTTAGCCTTTAGTATTACAACACGTCTTTGGGTAACTGGGGATCGTTGTAGCGCCAGAGGGTCCACCGTAATCAATTGCTATACGGTGATGTTGTATGGAGTGGAGGATTGCAAACCAGTCACAGGATCGACCTGTGTGATGAGAGCATACGGTTTGATTGGGAAACGTAGTTCAAGCCATGGCCATCTTCCCACCATCAGGAGTTTCGTTGGTTCGCATACATCACTCGGCGAATCTCTTGTAGTGGATTCGCTGAAGATAAGGCGATGCAGGCGAGAATGATGAATGTGGAAAATTGCGTATTGTGATGCATATATCTTGTAAGTGAAATAGTACTTCGAAATGACCATGACCAATCTGTTTTAATGAGGAATTACTTTCGTCGTTTGGTAACACTCATTGCGTCAAAACCCTAACACTTGCTGGTGCGCTTAGTTATTCACATAGCATCATGTCTCAATGCGCAGGGCTAAGTGCCCGTGCAACTATGGAGGTTCGGGAGACACAGCTGTCCATAGATTGGAAACCATTCTGAATGAGCCAAGTTTACCACTTTTAGACGGCAGATGTTCGAGACGGTCTTCTAGAGTGAAAACCCACGTTACCTTTCGCCACAGCATTCTCTCTCCCCTGCTTCCTTAAAACAAAAAGGTACCAAACAGACCATCCTCCAATGACCACAAGAGTCGTAGGTACGGTGACTGCCCAGTATATTCCAAATCGAGGCCCGGTAACTTGGCTTACACGCGGAGCCTGCCAGTCGAACATTGGCATCGAGAAAACAGCCTAGCCGATTGTTAGTGACCGATGCTAATAACCATAGACCAAGCAATTTGTTGTTGTACAGCAATAAAGGTGCCAGGAAGAAAGAACATCGTCATTACGGCAACCGTCTTCATGGCAATGCTATCTCGTCCGGTCGCGAGAGCGATCAACCTGCTATCCTCAGCAACTCCAATGTTAAGTCGGCTATCTCTTAACACCAGAGCGTTGTAGATCTATTCCCGGTTAGTAATGCAGGACAGATACAGGACGGTTCGAGGAGCACAAATGAGTCAGGCACGTACATAAGAGAGCTGAACATCACATCTCTTTTGCAGACGTTGCGAATATACCAGAAGATGATCCATGACTGCTACCAGAGTGCCAATATCATTCAGTAAAATTTCACTCTGAGGCGCCGCCGCCGTCATATTTGCTAAAAACATCTCATCAAAAGTCTTTGCCTCATTGTGTAAACTTAGTAATGCGGATTGTGTAACTTTGCACGAGGTTGTGTCGATGATAATTTTAGAAGATATTAAGTTCAGCTCCCTTAGCAACTCCGCGAGGTTCTCTGGCTCGTGATGACCATGTGGCGGATCTTCAAATATGGAATTGCCAACTGCTATTTCCAAATCGGATATTTTAGTAGCATTCTTATGGCAAGATTTAGTCATGTCAGATACAGTAATGTCATATAATCGGAGCGGGATCAAGAAAGGATGAATTGCATAGGATTGGCCCATCTTAGTCAACGAGGTCGCAAGAGAGTCCAGTATTTTCGTGATATGGCCATCGGCTACATCAAAATACCCGAGTTTGAAGAATGCATGTGTCGTGTTCGAAGGTGCATTCCAAGAACCAACTAAGGACCAGGGAACTTTGCAATGACCGTCAGCTTGGAAGATGTAGCCTTGCCAGCCACGTTAGAATCTTATGTTATGCGACAATATGGTTGGGTTTTCGTACATACTGCATTCAGGGGTCGGTGAGCTAAAAACGGCATGCGAGCATAAAAAGTTTCTTGAAACTACCTGTGCGGTCCGCCTGGGTAATTGGAAAGCCGATATAATCTTCGAAAAGCCATTGCGACTCCAGGGTATAGAACGATAATGGTTTCTGGGAGGGATCCCAAATCTGTTGAGGCGTGAGACTCAGGAAAGGTTGCAAGTCCTGGAAAAAAAAAAAAAAAAAACTCAAAGACTTACATAATGCGTGTCGCTGCAACGGTATTTGGAAGTATCTGAGATTTGTAAGCTGGGGCGGATGTGCGTTTCTACTTGTGCAAGGCTCACATCTACAAGATGAGCGTCTAGGTCTTCTTCATCAAGATTACCCCGTCGAACTATAGACTGGGTCGATCCATCAATCTGCTTACTGTGTCAGTACAATGATGATATTGCGTATGGGGACCTGTTACTCTAGTAAGCGATATATCAAAGTACGAGCGACCACCTGTCTCTGGTTTAAATCGGATATTGTCTAAAGCTGCTTCAAATAACTCATCTGAGATGTCCATTGTGAACCAGGGTGATTTGTTGATATCGAGCGGTTGAGTGCATGGAAAGGTTGAGGCTACCTCTAGTTATCATAACGTGAACGAGAAGGCTCTGAAAGCCTTACTTCAAAGCTATATGGTTGAGGCAACAGGCAGCATCGAAACTCCCGATCCCCTTATTGGTCGATGCCGGCGGTAAAAAATGCCCACTTCGGAAGACTCCCTTGAGTTATCAGCGTCAATGAATTACCGGTTTTGTCCAACCAGTAACACAAACAAGTTCAGACAGCAAAGTGTCTTTCTTCGATTTCTCATTGATTATTACGATTCAGTATAGGCCAATTCAAGAAGCCAACTTTGTAACAAAAACTTAATCAAATACATCCGTCGCATATCTTTCGTTCCTCACACTTTCAAACAGCTTCACAGCCTCTTCATCAGTAAGGTCCCTTCCATCCTCTTTTGCCAGCTCAATATACAGCTTAATAGCCGTCTGCTTGACTGCCTCGCCCACGCTTCTTGATCCACACACGAACACCTTGGCACCATTCTGCCATAGCTCCCCGACTGCCTTGCGGTCGTGCCAAATTCTGTCTTGCACGTGCTTGCATCCCTCGCTTGCCTCTGGCTTCCGGCTGTAAGCTCGGTGCACCTCGACCGCGCCCATCTTCTCCCACCGGTCGAGCTCAGCCCGGTATAGGTCATCCTGCTCTGGGTTGCGGCAGCCAAAGAAGAGTAACGCGGGAGCTAGGGTACGGCCGGCGCCAAGCATTGCAGCACGCTCTTGGATGAAGCCTCGGAAAGGCGCTAGACCAGAGCCTGCGGCAATGCAGATAACTGGAGTGCGTTCTGAGTCAATGGGAAGGTGGAAGGAGGCGTGGGAAGGACGAATAGAGACATGCAGCTTATCCCCTGCGGAGAGTGAGGAGAGATAAGATGATGCAACACCGACATGACGTCCTGTGCCCGAGAGAGCTGGAGCATCAAGTACGGAATATGTCAAGGTGACATGTGACGGGTTCCATAATGGAGACGAGGAAATTGAGTATTGTCGCACCCGCATAGGTGGCAGAAGAGACAGGAAACTACCAAATGGTAGGTCGATCGACGAGAAGCGCTCTAGGAGATCTAGGACCGAGACACGCTTTGCGCTAATATCGGAGCTGTACTTGTCAGATGCTAATTGCTGCAAGGCCTCTTTTGTTCCTTCATCCTTCGTAGCCTCAGTCAAAGCCAAAATACTTCTCTTCGTTGCAGGCTGCGCTAGCTCAACGTAAGCTCCCAGCACATCCTGAGCTGGTATCGAGGTATTGGTGGGTAAAGTTGTCCGTCCTTGGGCAGATATAGTGATATATGCATCCCAGGCCAGCTGGAAGCGTCGCATAGCCCTGTAGACAACTTCCTTTGGATTCAGAGGGAGCACGGCGAGGTAGTCACCCGCAGAGTAATGCTGATCGCTCGGTAGCTGGATCTCAATGTGCTTTTTGGGCGGCGCGTCTGGCGAAGTGAGTGTCTTGGTTTCGATAATAATGGCCTCCTTGACATCTTGGCGCAGAGTAGATGACCGTGGCGTCGACACCTCTACCGATAGGCTAGGCTGAAAAGTATCCGCTTCAGCTGAATCTGCCACACCGTAGAGCTCGGCCATGGCTGGCCACAGCGTTTCGTCCTCCCATGTCTCAAAGTCCGTGAACATGTCACCCTCAGCTGCGTCGGTGAGACCAATAGGTGCTATGCGCTTGCCGCCGAGCCCGTCAATAGTCGTGTCCACCAGCTTCGGAATGCGGTGGAACGTCTGTGCCCAGTCGTGGTGTCCACATCCGAACACTGCGTAAGACACATTCTCTAACTCCTTGCCCTTGAGACCACGTAGCCATGCCACAAAGTGCGCGGCATTGTCGGGTGGCTCTCCCTCGTATGAAGCAGTGATGATGACAACTGGTCGATCTGTCGGTAGTTTCTGGTTTGCAGCGTCTAGAGAATCGACTGTAGTTGCAGTGAAGCCATGACTGGCAGCGTCGGAAGCGAGCCGCTGGGCCAAGGACTCGCATGTGCCGCTGTTCGATCCATAGTAGATACTCATGGGCTTGCCTTGCGAGTGCTTTGCTCCATTGACGCCGTTCACTCCGTTCACTCCGTTGACGGATTTGGGGAATTTGACGCCGTACTTGCCGATTGGTGTGCTAGGAGCGGAGGATCCTGCTAGGCGGTGTTCTAGTTGCAAAGGTGTAAGATCATGTCTTAATCTCGCCCTCATGTAGAAGTCTTTCGGTTTGATAGTCAATGTCTGCTTTATATGTAGGTGGTAGCTTGGATCGTCGAGCGTAAAGTTGAAGTTTTGGAGGAGCATTGCCACGACAAGGAGGGCTTCTTGCCAGGCAAAAGGCCTACCGATGCAGGCTCGCATGCCATTACCAAACGGCTTCCAACTATTCGGGAATTCCCTGTTCAGGCGCTCGAAATTCTCGTCGAGCATGCGCTCGGGGACAAATTCAGTCGCAGTCTCTCCATACACAACGGGGTCAAGATGTGCCTTAGAGAATAGCATTACCACCGGCTCTCCCTCCTTCACGAGATACTTGCCACCAAGGATTTCGTCCTTGTTCGGCATGACAACTATTACTGGGATCGTGGAATTAAGACGAAGTGTCTCTCGGAGAATCTATCATTAAATCAGCCTAGATTGTCACGAAGGGGAAAAATTGGAAGCGATACCGCAGCAATATAAGGCAGTTTGTTCATGTGCTCAGCGGTGATTGGACCATCTCCGATCACTTCGTCGACCTCCTTTTGTGCCTTTTGGTATGCCTCCGGGTGCTTGAGTAATTGGTAGAAAGCAAATGACAGGAGGCCAGACGTAGTCTCATGTCCGGCAATTAGGAACGTAATCAGATTGTCCGTGATGCTTTGATCAGTCATCTTCTCGCCCGTCTTCGGGTCGACACCTGCAAGCATGGCCGCGAGGAGGTCCTTGCGGCCGGTCGGATGCTCTTTCCTGGTCTTGAGCACATCATCGGCTGTCTTTCTCATCAAGTCGATGTCCTCCTGGTACTTTCGGTCAACATCACGGTAGAATATTGACGAGAACGGCATCCGTCTTGTTCGACTTCCGGACTCCGTGAGAAAAGCACCCATCGCTTCGATGAAGGGGTGCATCTCGTCGTGGTAATACGAGTTGAAACGATAGTCCATGGCACACAAAGCGATTGTGTCCAGAGTCAGTCGAGTGAAGTCGTCTGTGACCATAATCGGCGTCTCGGGACCATGACGCGCCCACTTCATGGCGAGCTGACTTGCGATATCGTGCATCTCGTCAAACATCCCCTTAATCGACATTGGGCCGAATGCAGGCATGAGGACCCGGTGGGCGATGCCCCAGTTCGGCTCCTCTGGCTTGGCCTGCGCTCAGTTTAGCATGGGAGCAGTGATCATGCGGATTCAAACCTTCTCACTGTGAAGAGACCATCATGCACACCGTTCCTGACTTCCTAGATGGGGAGGTCAGTTCACCCAGATAGACTTTTCGGTCGGTGTAGCATACATTCAACGTTGTATCTATCCTTTTATTGAAGCGCTTCTCATCGCAAGCTTCATTGACCAGAGCATTTGTCGAAACCACAACCACAGTCCTGCCAGGGAATGATAATCGGTAGATTTCACCTGTGATGATGGTTCGTAAGGCGTATAACAGACGATAGGAGAGGTCTTTTGTGCTAACCGTATTTGTCTGCTAGGTTGACCCAAGACCCCAGGGGAAATTCTCGATTGATTTCATTGAGATTCCCTAACAAAGGCAACCCTGGTGGAGAGGGAATGGGTACCGTGTTTTCCTCTGCCATGATCAAGTTGTCTGCGTCGCTGATGGACCAAATGCATGCGGCTTTCACCTGGGAACGCAGATCCTCCACAGGGGAGAGGCACGTTTTTAAGAGGTGGACGACGTCAATTGAAGGCGATCCAGCTCCTAGTGCGAACTTTGGGACGGAGAGTGGAGAGCATGAGAGATAACTCGTTTGAGGCGAGTCTCTTAGCTCCCGGGTTGATCGTACCGTACACTATCAATAGAACACGGACAAGTGCAGAGCCTTGTTACAGCATTGTAATATGATTGATAAGAATTGTGGCACTCACCATAGGCTCGCCACGGCCCAAGCAAGTTGTGAAACTTGCACACGAAGACAGACATGGAGGCAGCCAGTACATCGAGAGCCATAGCAATGCGATTAAAGGGGGTGAAAATGTGCCTCGGCAGCGATAAGAGACGCTCGTATGGCGTCGCCGTCCGTGTTGCATGGCACAATGAAAGCACCGGGGATCCATCCCAGCGCCCTCCTGTCCCGAAACAAGGAAGGACTCCAGGATCATTGTCATTTCGAGATTGCGGCCTGCTGGGTCTGAGGGTTTCGCGGGCGGTGTCAGGACGAAATGATTGCACCGACGGGCCAAGAAGCAAGCTAGAAGACGTCAAAAATTAAGCACCAAATCAACGGCGCTCCTGCAGCTCTTGATGCCGAGGTCTGACGAAAGTGCCACGATCGGATCGTAGCGATCCTGGCCCGCCAGCCATCCATCCTAGCGAACAAATGCTACCTGCTGGTTGGCTTGATAATACATATCTAAAGCTGTCAAGCCTCAATTCCTCCTTCTCAGAATCCCTGCATGGGCTATCGCTTGACAGTTTGTCTTGATAATCAATAGTAGAGGCATCGCTTACAACCTTTTGGGATGTGCGAGCCAGGGATCAATGCCGGTGCCTGCACATTCAATCAATCACTGAATGCAGGATGGTAAGCTGAGGGTTTATGCAGTCTCAGGGCACAGTCCAGAAAAGGCGGGCCGTTGACGAATATTCGGTGGAAGTGGCATTAGCACATTGACACAAAGTTACCCCTGAATGCCACATTGCTGGCTCCTCAGTGGATGAAGAATTTTTTCTGTGGTGGGATGACTGGGATGGCGGCGGAACGGTGTGGGCTCGGCGGCTTGTGCCCGTTCACAGTCGGTCTAACTAAGGAGCCCCCGTGTCCGGGCGCTAGTGGCCAGGGTTCAATCTGCCTCGGCTCGATTGCCTATGCCAAATGCCGCTGACAATTTCCTTATGCAACGGCGCGGAAGTCCGTTGAGGCTCCCTTTCCGGGTCTCTTCTCTAGTCAAAATCACTTGTACAAAAGATGTGCAAATGGATTTCGCGGAACCGGCCTCGCTCCGTCCACCGACCCGATGTCATCTAGTGATCTCCTTCGAGATGCGGCCTCGCCTCCACTTACACCGGCACAGCGTACGCGCCGCAGAGGGAGCCCATCCGACGTGACAGATATTGGGAAAAGATCAATATTGAACAGAAAGAACTTGATCTATTCCGTTTCAAGAAACTCATGTCATTGATTGTCAAACAAAGACAACCATATCATAGTACAAACAGTGGATATTTCCAGGTGGTCTGATAACCAACGCCTCGCTGACAATGTAAAACAAGGTTCAAATAATCGAATCTAAGACCTCTTTCCCTCAAATGCCTTCGTGAGGCCATTCGCACCGGTCTCAACAACCTTGTAGCCATCCGCATCTCCTGCACCCTTCGCCGCGCTGGTATAGGCTTCGTCAGACCTACAGATCTGTTAGCTTGTCATCAAGTTGTCAAGGTTGAGAGTTTGCCTACCTATCACAGAGAACATCGATGTCCTTATCACTCAGAATCTCCTTATCACCAGAGAATTTGTACACCTCTCCATCTCTCAACAGCAAAGAGCGAAGCGTGTCCTTGTCGAGGTCCTCGTGCATATCTACCTTCTGATTCAACGTGCGGAACCCGCCTTTCTTGATGACAAGCTTTTCAAGTCGTCGCTTGGCATCGGCACTCATCAGCAGCGACTCCTCAACCGTACCCTTCGTCGCAAGACGGTACACAATGACTGGTCGCGTCTGACCAATGCGATGTGCACGATCCTGCGCCTGCAGGTCTTGCTGCGGGTTCCAGTCGCTGTCGAATAAAATGACAGTGTCGGCAGAAGCAAGATTGATGCCCTGACCACCAGCTCGTGTAGAGAGTAGGAATAATTTGAAGTCTGGATTAGAGTTGAACTCAGCAATCTGAGCGCGGCGGTCATCCTGTGCTACGGAGCCATCAATGCGGCACACGTTCCAACCTCGCAGTTCTCTACAATAGTCCTCAAGGAGATCTAGCTGCGTCTTGAACTGGGAGAATATCAGAACTTTGTGACCCTTGTCAAACAGAGCTGGGAGAAGTCTATCGAGCAACAGCATCTTGCCAGACGCAGTGACCAAGCTCTCGTCCACTTCCAAGCCGTTGTCGGCTCCCCAGGGGTTATAGAAATTGTGTGGCGAGTTGCATACAAGCCGAAGCTGCATAATGGGGTTGCCGAGCTTCTTCATAGCAATCTCCTTCTTAGCCAGCTCGAGGGTTGCTGCCCGCTCAGAGTCCTCCGATGACTCTACCACCTCTTCTTGAGCCTCTCGCTGAGCAATCTCGTTTGCAAGCCTAGCCTCAAATTCATCGTCGGACAAGGCGTCGTCATCGTCGTCATCTGCCAGCTTGTAAGACTTCCGCTTCCTCGCTGACCGAGTGCGACTTGATGTCGAAGGAGTACTCTGTCTACTAGACCGGGTACTTTTTGGTTGAGAAACCTCCGTTGTTGGCGGCGACTTCCTCTTCGTCTCTTGCTTCGCAGGAGTAATTGGAGTTTGTGCAGCAGCGGCCTTCTTCGACAAAACAACTGCACCTTTGCCCTTGCCCATCATACGAGTGAAGGCATTTTCAACAGCTGCCGGCTTGTCCTGGGTCTTCTTCCCGCGAGGACTGCTTCTCACAGGCAGTGACATAGTCTGCTTCTCCGCACTCTTTTCGAGCTTGACGCTGTTAGCGCGGGAGCTTCGAGGTGTTGACTTGAGTGAAACGGCCGGGCTATTTGTTGCGCCAGTCAGGCGTTCAACAACCTTGTTTTCGAGGAAAGCGCGAGTGTCAGTACTCTTGTCGCTGATAACATTGTACAGATCGGTCTGCTCCTTGGTCATGGGAGCATAGAGTACATATTCTCGCTTCTTAGGCAGGTAAGCAGCTACGTCAGCTTTGACGCGGCGCAGGAGCAAAGGCTGCAGAATCAGATGAATCTTCTTGACGAGATCCTGCTTCATCTGATCGCCAATAAATTGTTCTGTCCCCTCCTCATCTTCTAGGTCACTGAAATCAAACCAACTTTCAAAAGCCTCCCAGTCGGTGAAGATATCAGGTAGAAGGAAGTTTAGGAGCGACCACAACTCTTTGAGATTGTTCTGCAAAGGCGTGCCAGTTATGAGAAGACGTGTGGCAGACTTGAATGTTCGAAGTTCTCGGAAAAGCTTGGAGTCGAAGTTCTTCATGCGATGACCCTCATCCTAAGTGTGATATTAGCCAGTAATAACAGATTTAGCAATGAAAATACGAACAATAATGATGAATTCCCAGTTGATTTTGGAGAGGAACGCCTGGTCCCTCAAAACCATCTCATAACTTGTACAAACGACAGGGAACTGAGCGGTGGGTCTTCCGTCTTTGAGATGGCGCATCATTTTCGTCTTCCAGATACTCTGACGCTGCGGAGGGGTGCCATGATACATGGCAACCGGAATAGACGGTGTCCATTTGTGAAACTCGTCAAGCCAGTTTGAAAGAGTGCTTAGAGGTGCAATGATGAGATGAGGACCCAGGTAGTCCTCTTGCTCGCGGAGCAATGCGATCAACGAGATGGTCTGAATCGTCTTTCCGAGACCCATCTCGTCTGCGAGGATGCCAGACATGCCCTGCGAGCATATCTCATACATCCATGTAAGGCCCTCGAGCTGGTAATCCCGCATGGTGCCACCCACAAGACACTTGGGCTGCTCGGCCATCTTCAGATCATGCTCACCAAGTGTCTTGCCATCTAGTCCACTGCCTACACGGCCGAGCACCTCAGTCTTTTTCGTAAGAATATCGCTGAAGGCCGCGCTCTTGCGAAGGAGGTCATCGAGCTCTTTGGCCTTCGCCTCGCGCTCAGATTTGGTCTCAGCCTTCTTCTTGCGCTTCTTTATGGAAGCCTTTCGCTTTGCCTCGGCCTTCTCATTTTCGAATCTTGCCTTCTCCTCTTCACTAAGGAGCTCTTTATCTTCGACGTATTCCTCGTCCATTTTCGTAGAGTCGGGATCCTCGGCAGGGGGCGGCGATGAAGGAGCGCTGGTAGAGAGTCGAAGTGAGGAATTGTCTGACCCGAGGTCGGACGAGGAGTCAATTGCCATGGTATTTCCAACAGGAGAAATGTGAGACAGGATTGGGAGCAGAAATTCGTAAATTGCTGCTCGTAAGTGTACACTCCTCCCGAGAGGCGCAGTCGTACTCGAGAGCAATATGAGGGCGACTCGAGGAGGAGCTTGAGAAAGTTTAGTAATAAAGTTGGTGAGGTAAGCTGTGCTCCAACCGGTATACAAATTTGTTGGATTAAAAGGTGCGCTTTCAATTGAGATATAGATGCAGGGGAAAGAGAAACGGTGAAAAGGAAAGGACGGGTTCCTGGAGACGAAAAAAGGTACCGACCGGAAGGGCGCAGAGGGAATGCGGGCGGCGCGGGCGAAGGCGAGGTGATGACCAAATGACTTTTGTTCTTTCTTTTTCCCACCGAAAGACGCGACGGACTTGACGCGAAATGGCCCCGAGGTCACGCGTTTTCCATTTAACAAAGGGGACTTGACTTGATGCCTTAGAATTTAGGCAATAAATCTGGGCAATGACGACCCACTCACCCGCCCCCTTTTACATCCTGGCGCGTTGTTTTGGTCACTACACCACGACCAATGAAGCTCACAGCTTTTTGAGATCATTTGGGGTTACAGACTAGTTCGGCTGATGCATTGCGTCGTCTACCGTCGTAAATCAAATCTTTCAACGCGAGACGTATCCTAGATTTAATTACTGGCTATATCTCCTTAATTTTTTACCTCCACCACTTCTTGGTTCTTGACCGCCCCGCCTGTATTGTCGCACTCTTCAGACAGGCTGGAGCCCTCGATGGCCATGGGTGCTTCCGGATCATCGCTCCTATAGTACTCCTTAGGTTCCTTCCAAGCTTTTTCGAAGAGACAAACTTGGTATGGCACTGGCCATCGAAGGCACAAGCCTAGATAGACGAGCGATGACACCACAATCTCAACAGGGAACACCACAAAATAGAAGTGCGTCGCTGCCAGAGGTATCTTCTGGCCAACCGCGCCGGCAAAACCATCGAGACAGAGGACCACGCCGCAGAGATAGGCGACAAATGCTCTCCAGTTCACGCCGTAAAAGTAGTAATAGGGCTCAGTCTTAGTGCCTCGGTATAGTGCATCCACGTTGATATAACCCCTTGTTATGATAAAGTAATGAGTAAGCATCACCCCAATAATACTGCCAAGGAATATTCCGAAAGACGAGATATAAGTGACAAATATGGCCGCGGAGCTTAAAAGGTACCAGGGGTTCATGACCAACGAAATGATTGTGATAATGTATGCGCCGCGCTTGTAGCTGATGTACTTTGGGGCGAGGCCCGCCAAGTCATTGGCAGCACTAGATTTTGCGATATCAGTATCGTGTCTGTAGATCTTCATGACGAGAATACTTACGGGAGGACATTCTCGAAGATGCACGAGATTACTATCCCGTACGAGAAGCACAACCCGATAAAAAAGCCACCGGCTCTATAGGCTGGCGTGTAATTCTGGGACATTATATCGTCCAACAAGAGGATAGGATTCCATTGCATCTAAGTTCTCGGTGAGCATGTAATTAACTTTGGTGGTTTGAACTCATGCTCAAGGTCCACAAAGCAACTTGAGATATAAGGAACTGACTTTCCCTAGGATGAGAGTACTCGAGCTCGCAATGACGACACCGACAAGATGTACAATCAAATTTGCGAGGGGTCCTCCGACAAGATTGCCTACTAGAGGATCGTTCGCCTTGGTGGCATAGCGCTGAAAGTCAGCTGCATTGGTTGTGAATGTTGCACAGCTGCTCATTCCCACAACGAAAAATTTGACCAGTAGCCACTTATGCTTATAGCCAGTAGCCGTCGCTGCTTGCGAGAGGACTTTTCCAGCACCACCAGCAAGCGAGCAACACCAAGCCAGCATAGCAACTGCTGCGACGATAAAGGAAATCAGGCGGATATAGACCGTTGCGCGAGCCTTAGGAATTCGCATTGGGGCAACTAAAACGGCAATGAACCAGAGTACCACAATCCCAATGAACACACCTGTTTCGATACCCGCGCCCTTTGGCATGATGTTCGGTAGGTCCGCAATATTAGGGAAAATCGCATGGAGCATTACACTATCACGGAGTAAGCTTCAACACAAAACAAATCCAAGCAGAAGTCTTCACGGACTAGAAGCAGTAACCCCCCTGCACCAGATTGATCCCCTGATACACGATACTCAAAATAACACGACTAACGACGGGCCAGTAGCTTCCATAGACGCCGAAACAAGTTCGCACCAACGCGGGATACGGAATGTGATACATGGCGCCTCCACGGCCGTTCATAGCTATCAGGATGGACACAACACATCGGCCCCCAAAGCTTAGAAACAGAGATTCCAGAGGCGACAGGCCTGCGGCAACACCGGCCGAGCATCCGTACCAGTCTGCAGCAGAGGACGCTGCACTAAACCAGAATGCCAAATAAGTCCAGAAACCCCAGGTTCGATCTTTGACTTTCAGCGGTCTAATGTCATCGTTGTCGAGCAATTGACTGGCCTCGGGGTCATGGAGTCCGGTCTCTTGAGACACTTGACAGCGCCCGCTGGGTATGAAGATGGAAGGAAATCGGAGTTTCATCGTGGATTGTCCTAGATGGTGTAAGGCAATTACTTTCCAATTGATTGCTTGATCTAGAAGCAGGAACCTCGAGGAGACTAATCGGCAGGAGCATCGACGTCAAGTAAAAGTTTTCCATTTCCACCATATCGCAAGACTCTTAAATCTTTGATTTCATCTTCCATCTACAGTTGCTAACCTTGGAGGAGAAGCGATAATAAGATAAGCAAAAAGTTACTCCCGCCGGTGACCGCAGGGTGTTGACTAGCACGATGACTTAGGGGTTCCACTTAGTCTTTCGAGCTCATGCACTAGACTTCTTATGCTGGCTTGTCAGTAGATGGTCCCGATAAGACCTCTGACAGCCAATTAAGACCCGTCCAATATGTTTTTGTGAGATAAACCCTCCAGTTACGCCCACCGGTGACCGTTGGATGTTGACTAGAGCAATTATGTGGAGTTTCCCCCTTAGTCTTCCCAGCTCTGCTTTAGATACCTTCTTCTGCATTATTGGGTGGCGTTCCCGATAAGCCCCCTCGTTAGCGACTAAGGCCCGTGGGAAACCTGTCATGAGGGAGAGCCTCGGTTTATCATCGGGCGGTCTTCCATAGCAACATGTTGACGAGACGCTAATTGTATGTTGTTTTATT